TTCGACCGACAGATTATCGCTCGGACCGAAACCATCAGAAATATTTAGCTCATAGAAGGTAATGCAATTACCACCGTTGCTTTTCACGGCCTTGTCAACTCTTCGATACTGCAAGCCCCGCGCCTCTTTTCATCCGTCTTCGATCGCCTTTTCTTCCTCGCCAAAACCGACTCTCAGCAGTCACCACTCTCGTCTTTACAGCACTAGTAGCAACAATTATAGCAGCATCATGTCTGATTTCAAACGCGCGAAGTTGGATGACTCTGTATCGACAAAAGTGATCGGAACCCATTCTGGATCCTTCCAAGCCGACGAGGCCATGGGATGCTTCCTCCTCCGCCAACTCCCCGAATACAGATTGTCGAAAATCGTACGATCCCGCGACCCAAAGGTATTGGAAACCTGCGACATCGTGATTGACGTCGGCGGGGTTTACGACCACGAGAAGAAACGCTATGATCACCACCAAAGAGATTACGACGAGAGATTTGATTCCGGAAAAGAAGGCTTAACCGACGGTAGATGCACAAAATTGTCGGCTTCTGGTCTAGTTTATCGTCACTACGGCAAAGAAGTGATCAAAGCATACTATCCTAATCTCTCGGGTGAGCATCTGGACCTGGTTTATACCAAAATCTACGACTCGCTTTTGGAGGCGCTGGACGCTATCGATACGGGTGTTGAAATGTCAACAACAGAGTTGGTATACCGCGACACAACTGGACTCTCAAGCAGAGTAGCCAGGCTGAATCCACGCTGGAACGAAGTGAATGAAAATGGCGAGCCTCCCGAATACGACGAACGCTTTATGAAAGCTTCGAACTTGTGTGGGGAAGACTTTCTGGCCGTCATGACAAAAATTGTTGAGAGCGATCTCCCGGCCCGTGAGGTTGTCGAAAAAGCAGTTCTCGCGAGATTAGAAACGGACCCATCCGGCGAAATCATATGCTTTCCAACCGGGGGTTTGCCCTGGAAAGGCCACTTGTATGAACTGGAGAAGTTGCACAAAGTGGAACCCTTGATCAAATTCGTGCTTTACACAGATCAAGGTGGCATGTGGCGAGTGCAGGCCGTGACCGTTGAAGGAAAGGCGTTTGAAAACCGCCTCAGTCTCCCGGAAGAATGGAGGGGAGTACGAGACGAAGATCTCGAAAAACTTACCAACATTAAAGGCTGCAGATTTGTTCATGCCGCAGGATTCATCGGGGGGAATACCTATTTTGAAGGTGCATTGGAAATGGCCCGAATTGCACTTCAAGGATCTAGTAAATGAAATCAATGACGACTATAGTCAAAGAATACTGCATCAGCAGGTTCAAGTCTTTTCAAAGCTTTTGCACAAGAATTAAAATTACTTCTTTCTGGGGATAATACTTTTAGTTTGGCTTTGTTGAGGTCCTCTCTGAAGACACTATTTTATTCTCCTCCGTGGGATCAAAGTACTACCTTCTTAGATCCGAAGATTAGTTTCTTGGCTTTGACTACTTTTGAAGCACTATTTAAATACAGAACTTGGAGTTCTGGCTTTTTGAGTCTTGGGAGCAAAGGACAGACATAGGACTTGTATTGTAGAGAAAGCAAACATACCACTTCTTGTGTTTCTCAACAAGCCTAGAGCTAATTCCACACCATGTAGCTAGGGGTAGAATCTATAAGTATGCAAACAAGCAGAAAGGTCCACTTACCTGGCAAATTCTTCCCACTACAACACAAAATCTTATGACACACAAAGAAATTGATGAAAACAACTTTCACTACTACTACTAATGCCAATGTCAGTGCTGCAACACCACAACTATCAGTCACCCTRTAGCCCCCACCAGAAGAACAAACTACTATTCAATTCAAAAAATATTGTAATAACAAGAATATCTCAACTTTGTCTAGCCCTATTACCAAGGAAATCTTTGACACTATTGCAAAAGTCCTTAGCAACAATAGGCCTCCAGCCTCCACTCAAACTAATACACCTTTACACCTTCAAACATTGTTTTACTCCCTCTAGTAGCACTCATCAAACCAGCACTTATATACATCATGTCACTGCCCTTACCTCCTTTTACACTCAGAAGAAACATCACAATCCAACTTTTTGGCATAATCTTCCATAAGGTACTAGTAAGCCTTGAGCTAAATTGATATTATCACACAATGCAAGACCTCTAGCAACAAAAACAAATCCCATCCTGTAAAAGAGTCAACACAAA